TTGATTTTTTTAAATAGGATATGTTTTTTAGCTACCTTAGTTAGAATTTTATTAATTTAGTTTTATAATGTTAAGTTTGAAGTTATTAGTAATATTTGTAATAAGTATGAGAAATTTTTGTAAGTTTTGTTTAGTATGGTTTTGGTAGTTTTTAATTTGTTTATTTTTTGTTAGTTTCTATTAATATATAGTTCTTGTTTGTAAAAGGTGTATATTAATTTTAGATAGGTTAATTGTAAATTCGAATAAAACTATTGAATAGTCTAATGAGATAAATGGGTTAAGCAAAATATCAGCATAGTCAAGAAGTGTAATATGAATATTTGTTCATATTTGATCAATTTGATTGTGACTATTATTATATATATAGAAGAACAAAGAAATTAATGGGTAGAAGAGCCTATATATATTATAGAATTGAAGTGATTTTAGAAGTTTTAAGAAAGTGTGTTCAAGTGTATTGGAATTTTTTTGTTGTATTCTATCTAATTTAGAATTGGAAACACTATTTAGGTCTCCTATTAAAATAATTTTGTAATTAGTTTTGTTGAAAATAAGAGTAAGATATAAAAAAATATCTTTTTGAAGTTGTTCTTTTTCTTGAGTTAGAAAATAAATTTGAATTAGCTTAACATAAAAATTTTAAGAAAGATGTCAATTTCTATAAGAAAATTTTTGTAGGTTTGAATTTTTTCAATATGTTAAGCAATTAATTTGTGGATTAAAATTTCTACATTACTTTGGCAAGTATTGCTTGGTGTCCAAAAGCTTTTATAATTTGTAAGTTTTTGTAAGAGTGTTGAAAATTTTGCTTCTTTGATAAATAAATGTGTTTTTGATATTCCAAAGATGTCTATTTAATTTTTTGAGATATAGTTAATTAAACTTAATTGTTTGTAGTTGTCTAGAAGACCATTAATATTAAGTGAATGTATTTTAATTGATTTTATATTATTTGAAACTTCTAGTTCATTTGTGCTTGTTGAGTCAATTTTAGTTAGAGAAAAGATATGTTCAGTTGTAATTATTAGTGAAGTGTTCAAAGATGGTATTATGGCAATTGGATTAGATAATTAATTAGACTTAGTAAAGGAGATAGAGTTAATATCAGATATTTTCTAATTTGAGATAGTTGATAAGGGTAGGTGGCTATGTGTTTTATAGAGAGAAGAGTCTAATATAGTATAATTTGGTATTGTTGATTCAATAGTATTTAGGTAAACATATAGTTCTGTTTTTATGGAGTTTATAGATATTTTAATTGGATTAAAAAAAGAATTTTGATATAGATATTAAATAAATTTGATAAGTATAACAGGTTTTAGTAATTAAGATAGTTTGTAATATTTTAAGAATTTTGAAGTTAAAGCATTGGAGGTAAAGATAGTATTTGTAATGTCTTCTACAGAATCATTCACCATTTTAAGCTTATCTTGCACAGCTGTAGGGAATATCATAGTCAGTCCTGTACATTGAGTCTGGCCTTCATATTTCAGGACCTTCACTACAATAGGCTTTACTGCCTGTCTACTGTTATCATTCTTTTCTAAAAATGATCCACAAATAGTAGAGGACATAATAATCTTAGAAGCAGCAATTTGCTTTAATGTTTTTTGTAGAAAAACTTATTGAAAAGAAGTTTCTTGGTCTTGGATAAGATTGTTAAATGTATCTTTTTGAGAAGTAGAGTTGTTAGAATTATTATCCTAAGTAGTAGTAGTATTAAATTTTCTTTTTCAGTTTCAGGTTTATTTTGGTTTTGCATAAAGAGCATATCATTGTATTAAGTAGGAATAGAGATGTTAAGGTGTTTAATTATAAAATTTTCTGCTTTTAGGTAATAGATTTTGTTATAATTAATTTTAGTTTGTTTAAGAGATACTTTGAATTGGGATCAAATTTTATAGTAGGTGATTATGCAAACTAAGGTATATATATCAGTAGTAAAGTCTATGATTTTTTTAAGAGCTTTTTCTTTAAATAACTCTTGAATTTGATTATTTTTAGTTGCTGTTTGTAAATATTTTTATAAATATTAATAAAAGTAATATGTTGTTTAGGTCACTTCACTATTAATATTGTTAAGTAATGCAAAGCTTTTCTCAGTTAATATGGCTAATTTTCTTAATTTAGTTATAGGTGTTGGTTTTGAAAATGTTACTGCTAGTTGTTAATCATGTTGGAATAATTTAGTTTTTAAAGAAAAGTATTTTCATTCTTTTGAATTAGATTCTAATACTAGATGAAAATTAAATAATTGAAAGAAATAAAATTGAAAAATGTTTTCAAGATTGTGTTTAGTATTATCTAAAAATAAGTTATATGGAACCACCCATAGCAAAAAAAGGTGATAGACCAAAAAATTGGAAATTTTATTCTTATGCCAATTTTATTTAATTAATCTAATTCTTTAAGATATTGAATTTGTTTAAAAAAAATTTTTTTGCTCCATCCTCTCCTTTTGCTATAGAAGGTTCCATATGATTTCCTATAACATTTATAAAAGTAATAAAGTACTGCTTTAAAGATAGCTTTAAAGTGTTCTTGAAGTGAAGATAAGATATTTGAAAGAGAGTAAATTTCTGATAGAAGTTTCTTGCAGTCTTTAATAAGTTTTTGAGATATTAGCATTTTGATATAGTTGTTTGTTTTTTGTTGATCAATTTTTTCAAATTGAATTTTGTATTTTTCAAAGAATTTTTGAAACTAGGTTTCATAAGTTTTGGTATGAGATTTAAGTAAAGGAATTTTGAAATCATCTTCAAATTTTTTATAGGAATGTTAAGCTTGACTTTAATATTAAATCTGTTGTCATTTTGAATATCGAATAGTAGCTTATCTGCATTATAATCAATATCAAAATTTAAAGTAAACTGTAAAAACTTGATGTTAAGATTTTTCATAAATTTTTCAAAGTTAATTGTTTTGTAAGTGTGGTTTAGATATAAGTGTAGGCATGCTATATTAATGGTGACTTTTTTCCTATTATTTGTTAAGTATAATAGAATAGAGTAGTGTAAGCAAAAAATATATAAATAGTCTAGTTGAGTAAATAGTACTGTTGTAAATTTGGTGAGTAAGCCTTTGAGAGTTTTAACTAAAACTTTAAAAGTAATAGGATTTGATTGATCAAATTCTGGATTAGTTTCAAAATAAAGTCAGTTAAAAATTTTGGTTTAGTGTCATCTATTTTGTTAAGTATATAATTAAATGAGTATTTTGTCAGAGGTCTGTTGGTAGGTTTTGTGTTTGTTAGTTCAATAGAGATTTCTTGTTCTAGATTGAAGTTTATAAGATATGATTTTAAAAGAAAGAAGATTTGTAGTGCTAATAGTGTACTTAATTTACTATGTTTTTGTATTTTAGAAATAATAAAATAGTTTAAAAACTATTCAAGCCATTTGTTATATCATATTTTTGTAGAATTTCTTTTCCTTTCCTTTTTCTTCTGTTTAGTTTTTCAGTTTTGAATTGTCATTGTTTTGGTTTTTTTGTATTTTGTTATTGGTAAATTTTTTTTATCTTTGGATTCATTATTTGTTTTATATTTTTTAGACAATATTGTAATAAGTTTTTTGAAAAATATACATTTTTCTTCTGCAGATAGTTGTTACTATTTGATTTTATAGTAGAAATTGTACTGTTTCCAGTTTATAGATTTTGAAGAAATTGGATATTTAAGTTTAAGAATATGAATATAGTGTGTATGGGAGAGAAGCTTTCTTTACTATTTGTAAAGGTTAGAGCTTTAGAGTCTAAAGAGTGTTTGTTGTTTTTGAGAATAATACAGAATATATTTTTAGGTTTGCATATAATGCAAGTATATGCATAATGTGAAAATAGTTTAAGAAAAATAGATTTAGTTGAGATTTTTCTAATATCACTATAGAAAATATGAAATAGATAAGTAATCTCATATTTAGGTTGAAATTTGAATCTTAAAAGACTTTTAAGAGATTTGAATAGTTTAATATCAAATCAATTTTTATAAAGTTAAATAAATCTAAAATGTTTTCTAAAATTTATTAAGAAAATAATAGAACAGTAATATGTTATAAGGTAAAATAGATATGATATTTTTTATCGAGGCAGATAGTAATAGTAGGTTCAGTAGACCTCGTAAAGAAATGAAAGCCATTTTGTAAGTTATATGTTGTGAGATTGAAATTGATTAGTAGAGCTTTAAGAGTTTAAACTTTATTATTATGAGTAAAAGAACTGAACCTGTTACTATATTTGAAGAGATAATTATCAATATTAAAGGAGTCAGGTTTGATATTGATAATGCTTGGCATTTTGTATAGCTATCTTTTAAAAGAATATTTATAGAATTTAATTAGTGCTAATTGTTTGTATAATGTTATTATTTAGAAAAATTATTTAATTATTCAGATTTCTAGACTATTTAGAAATAATCTGTGAAGTGTGATGTATTTGCAAAAGCTAATTAGATATTTAGAATATTTTAATGAGTACCAGAAAAGTGAAAATTCTGGGACAACCTAGCAGATTTTCCTAAAATGCCAATTAAAAAATTTACAAAAATAGGTTTTAGATTTTGTTTTTTTGTTTATATCTTAGTAAATCTTGGTTTGATTATAATAAAATATATATCAAAATAACTGGAACAAGGTGCTTGGTATTTTTTTTACTAAGAAGTAGAATAAGTTATCTTAGTAAAATATATAATAAATAAGCAAAAACCAAAAGTTTAGTTTTTGATACTTTTTTTAGTAGTCAAGTATTGTTAGAACCTATAACTTAGCCACCTAGAAGAAGAAAAGTAAGCTCAACAACTTTACTTAAGAGTACAAGTAAGGTTTACTTAGTAAGATTTTAAAAAATAATTAAATGTTTTTAGCAGAATTTTGGTACAAATGATCTATGGAGAGAGTTACAGAATTGGTTCTATAATAGTATATTGCAAGCTACACAATTTATTTATATTAGTTTTTAATACTAATACTAATAATATATTTCAAAGTTGCACAATGCTAATGCTAATTTTTCCAATTATTTTTATAACCTTCTATTGCTTTATATATGTCTTCATTGATATTATCAATTATTGTAACTTCATTAATATAAGCTTTATTTATATTTATTAAATAATCATCTTTATTTTCTGGTTCATCTTGAGCTGTCTTTACATAAACACTATAACAACTAAATGTTTTTCTAATTAAATTAGAGCTAATTTTTTTTTAAGATTCTTTAACCTATTATGTAACAATTGAGTATGCTAGTTTGCAAATACATCCAGTAGAAGTTAATTGATAAATCTTTTTGGTCATCTAATCATTGTAACAATGTTATACTTATAATTATAAATATTAAAAATTTAAATATTTTATGAGCATAAAAAATGTTTACTTACATTTTCTTTAAAGCATTTATTGATAAAAACACCTAAAGGTTAAAGTTTATATATTAATTTACTTGAAATTACAGCAACATGAGTCTTCTTTTGTCCAAAATTTTCTTTGACAGAATTTACTATTTGACCTCTGAATGAATCTAAAATCAGTAATAAGGTCAGATTTTCCATTTCATTGCATTAAGTCCAAACTATATTTATTTAGTAATTCATTTTATTTTTGTTACACCATCTATTTTGATTAGCTCTAATGATAATAACATTGGGAAAAATTTTATAAAAAACCTTTTTTAGTTTAAAAATGCAGGTTAGAGAAAGTTTTGCACCATTAGTAAGACATTCAAGGATTATAGTAAAACAAGTTTTTTTATGCTCAGTTGTTTGAATACTAACTGTTTTGTTACCATATTTTTTAAGAGTTACTAAGCTAGATAAATCAAATGCTACTAAAGTCTTATCCATATTTCTAATATATTTTAGAAAAAACATATATTGATAATGCTTAAATGCAACAAAGCTTAAAAATTTGGTTTGCTTTTTAATATAATCTTTAGGAAGATGTTGTAATATAGTTGTATGATGATGGTTTGAAAGATTGTAATAATGTAAAAATCTATATAACTATTGATCAGAAAATTTGAATACAATAAGATTAGGGTAAGTATTTTTAATTTCTTTCTCTTATAATAACAACTTTACTTTACAGATTGTTATATTTTATGTTACTGTATTTTGATATTGTAATTCTTTAACCCAGTTAAAAATCTCTTCTTCAAGAATTAAATATTGTACAAAGTGACCAGAATGAAGTGATAAAGTATAAAGTAAAGCATCTAGAAGTTCTTGTTTTTTTGTTAATTATAAATTTGTTTAGACTTGATTTCAAACTCTTTAACAGTTTTTCACACATTTTTAATGTATTTAAAATAATAAACAATCATAAGTTTTTTATGAACACACCAACTTCAATGAATCTTATTAGTAATAAGAGCCTGTTTTATATTATTTATTTTCTTTAAAACTATTATTAAATGTTAGAAAAATTTTGTAGCTTTTATATACTAATTATTGATAAATTTATTTGACTTTACAATATGACATTATTATAAATTAGAAAAACTTTATAACTTTATTTGTCAATTTTTAATAAATTTATTTGACTATATAATATGACAAAAAATTTTAATTAATTTATTTGCCTCTACATTATAACATTAATTATAAGAAAATTTTAATTAATTTATTTGACTCTACAACATGACATTAATCATTTACAAAATATATATTCTGAATTTTATACTTCTCACTAATACAATGTATTTCTTCTGCTTTAGTACCTAAATACAATACTTGCAATGTATATACCCAGATACAAGAGTCAGTATTTTATAGTAAATAGCATATATATAGCATTTTATTTGCTTTTAAAAAAACTTTTTAAAACATTTTTAAGTACTTTATTCTTATATAATATAAATACATATAAAATATAATTATAAGTAACATATACTTTTTTATAAAAATATTATTAAAAATTATTTATAAAATGCTTATTTTAATTTTTTATCTATATCATTATAATCTAAAATGTTTTTAAAGAATTTTTATTTTATTTATAATGTTATTGATACTGATTACACTTGTAAGTAGAAACTTATATATTTGTTTTATAAATAGTATCTATAATTAAACCTATATAATACTTAACAATATGTCTAAATGTTTCAATATAAGAAAAACAAATATATTAAGTGTTTATCTAATGTTTTAAGTAATTCTACTATATAATTATATTGTCAAAATAGGTGCAAAAGTTTTTAAATATAGTTAGACTTAAGAGCTTTATTAAATTCATTTAATTTATATTTATTTGTTTACTATATACAGATTAAACAAATAAATAAAGAATGAATAATAGGTAAATAACAGAAAAAAATCAGTTATTATTCTATCTTATATCCACCAAATAATGACAGCATAACAGCTGCATAATAGCAGCATAACAGTGGAATAACAGTAAAATAACAGGAACTTTGTCAATATGAGTAACATAATAGTAATATAATAGCAAAATAATAGAACAGTTCTATTATTTATTTTTAGTTACAAAGACTAAAAGTAAAATGATAAAATTGTTCTATTATTTTGCTATTATATTACTATTATATTACTTATATTGATAAACCTCCTGTTATTTTGCTGTTATTTTGCTATTATACTGCTATTATGCTGCTATTATGTTGCCATTATTTAGCAGATATAAGGTAGAATAATGGCAGATATTTTTTCTGTTATTTACCTATTATTCACCCTTTATTTATTCATTTGACTTGTAATATCTTTAAGTACAATAATGTTATCATTATCAACTTTATTAATAAAAGTAGTAATAATATATATAAGTATATTAATGTTAAACAAATTATGCAAAAGCTTTTTTATCAATATTTAAATATTAATATTGAAAAAGACTCATCACTTCATTTGATATAAGTAGTTGATAATTATAAGCATATTCAATATCTGTAATAATTCACATACTAGATAACTGTTTTTTGACTACTCAGCTTTAATATGTACAAAACAATTACATTGTTTGATTTTTGACTTTCTTTTACATAATTTAGGAGTTATATTCCAATTATTATGCCATTTACTATCTTTAGTGCATTGTAAAATGATATATATAAACTTGCCATTATTATTATTTAAATTGCTACTATGTTATGAAAAAGCAAAGCCTTAAGTTTTAACAGTAGCCTAAACAAAATTGAAAACTCAAAATTTTATTAAATAAATTAATATTAGCATACTAAGTAAAATCATTCAAAAAATCAATATATTTTATTTTAAAAGTTTGATATAAATTAAGTAACTTTTTATTAATATAAGTTTTATTTTTTTATAACTTGCAAAATATTGAAAACCAATCTAAATCTTGATTTGAACAAAACTAGATTTAACTCACGTTTGGAACTTATTATATAAGAAATTTGATTCTTAGGCTTTTAATTTGGAACTAAGAGTTTTAGAATATAAACCAAACCCAAACCAACTTTACCATTCTAAAATAAAGGTATAATAATCCTTCGGGTGTACCTTCAGACTTGCGATAAAGTACTTTGTAGCACACTTTTCTAAAATCTGCAGCGATATCTTTTATGCGACATTACCGTAGAGCAAGCAAACCTGCCTAAGTACAAATAGTCTAAATCAAGTAGAAAGTAAAATAAATACATATTGATTATGTTTGCCCCTTTAAGGCCTAGATTTTGTCAATAAATTTACCTTAATGTCAGTATCACTCAAATCATCTTTAGATATTACAAATGTCTCAAGATCCACATCATCTATTCTCTCTGTATTATTATTAAAAATACGACGTTTCGTTTTTACGTCTGAAAGTGAAATTTCTATCTTTCAATCAATGCGTCCCGGGCGAATCAGAGCAGGATCTAATGATTAAATACGATTTGTTGCCATGATGACCTTTATAAATATAAAGAATCGAATTAATAATTTATATTAATATAAGAAGGAAATTTCTACAAGCTAGTTAACCTTGACATCTCCTCTAGAATCAAACCCGTCTAACTGACTCAAAAGTTCTAATGTAGTTCTTTGAATTTCTCTTTCACAACCTGAATTAGAATCATATATATAATTAAATAGTGCCGATTTAAAATAATAATAATAATAATAAATTAATAATATAATAATAAAATAATAATAAAATAATGACAATTAAAATTATAAATTCAATCAGAATAAGATTCATGTCTACATACTGTTTAGTTCCAATAGCATGAATTTCATCAATAAATACAATGTAAGGAGCATCTTCTTCGGCAACATGAAAAAATTTTGCGTACAAGTTTTGGACCATCTCAAAGACATTTTTGGATCAATTCTGAACCCATAACGCACAAAAAAGTTGCAGATGTTTGATTCGACACGGCTTTAGCCAAAGAGTTTTACCTGCACATACAGAAATATTTACTATTGATCTGTAGATACCTTGTTTATAGAAATATTGAATTTATCTGTTCCCGGGACCCATATAGGATAACACCTTTCGGAGGTTTAGTCCCATTTTTTCGCGTTTTTGTACATACCTTATGATGTAACAAAATTGAACATCTACAAATGATAAGATGTTGACATAATATTCTGGTCCCGTAGAAGAAGAAACTATTGCATGATCATCGTCAATGATTTCTTCCAGAGATCACACACTCATTGGGGAACCACGTAAATCATCCACCTGGGTTCTTTCTTCCTGAGATAGTCAACATTATCATTGTCAAAATTATTTTTAAATACAAAAAATTATGAAAATTTTAATTGTACACGGTACATACACCTCGTGTACAAATAGAAAATTATAATGAAATAAAACTGATACTTACTTGTGCTTTTTCTTCTTGTGTTTTAATCTTTCTCGATTTTGAACAAACTCTTCCTCCATCAATAAATAAACTTTTATACGTTCCATTTTTAAAAGTTCAGTCGACACCGGGATTCACGGCTTATATACCGGCAGGTAATTTAGACATGAGTTGGAAGTGGTGGTTCTCGTTTCTTTTTTTTTTATCTTTATGATTTAGTGCCAAAAGGAATAACAAAAGTATGATAAAATAAATTGTGTTGAAAGGAATAACAAGAGTATGATGACAAAATAAATTGTGCTGAAAGAAATAACAAAAGTATGGTGACACAAAATAAATTCTGATATTTCAACTGGGCAATCTTCACTGGTGGCAAGGAGCCGTGGCAAGGAGAGCATGGCACCAGCCGGATTCGAACCTGCAACATTTCGTTACGGACCCGCGTTCTAACCGTTAATCCATATCAGAATGATTACTAGATTTTTGAAATGTACTCCCTATAACCATTTAAGGAGTCATCTAAATTGACCAATCAAATTATAGAAATTTGACGATCCCGGCAAGCATTCTATAATGTTAGACCCGGAACACGTGATCAACGAGTCACCGATTTCGTTGTAAGATCATCGTTACATAATCGTCAGTCACGATTCTGCCCCGGTTATAAAGAACTTGGATATCCGTGCTTATAATGATTATAATGCGTATATTGCATAATCAGTATAATCATCTTTATAAGCACAATAATGAATATTGACATCTTAACAATAGATAGAATTTTGCTTATAAATAATCTGTAATTTCATTTTAATAATAAGATGAATTTCATACAAGTAATAAACATTATTGCCTTACATAAATTGAAATAAAGGTTTTGTAAATAACTATAAAGAACCATTGTCATAATAAAATACTTATCTAAACTATTAATAAATTCTACTTTGTTATATATAATATTTCCAAAGTAGTGTAAAATACTACAATTCTAGAGATAATAGAGTAATAGTTTCAATATAATGTAGACTATCCAGAATAAACCCAATCCAAATCAAAATTGCTTGTCAAATTTACATATTTTTTTTGACTGAAAGTTATTCAAACATTATATAAAAATGACCTTTGATTAGTGACAAACTTGCCAAATTAGAGTATCTTAATATAAACCTATATTTTATTTTATAGATATAACATATTACTAACATTTTATTTATTTTACTATAATAAGTAAAAAAAAAAACTCAAATAAACATTTAGTATTTGTTCTAATATTAAATTAATCTTAATTGTTGTATTGTATTATAGCCAAAATTATAATATTCACCAAACACAATAAAAGATTATCATAGTAGTCTTATTACATCTGCACTAATTTTTTTGTATTACAAAATTTAAAGAGTATTAACTGACTAGTTGGGGTTAAATGATCATTTGATGGATATTATTATATACAAAAAATTCAAGGTTGTATACAAGTTGGGTTCTTCTAACAAAATAAAATAATGTACAGATAATTGTATGATAACCTTAACTTATAAAAACATGTTGCCAACTTGTATCATTCAATTTTGTTTACAGTAATTTGATCTATAATTTTCAGATCAATTATGTAACCCAAATATTGAATAGATTAACAATCTTAAAGTGCATAGCATATTAATATTCACCTATATAATATTGTTATAGAGCTTCATTTTATGCTATAATAGAGCAGATATACATGTCAACCTTAACATCAATATAATTTTTATTATTGTATAGCACAACTTATATAATTATTCTTATAGTTTAAATTTAAGAGATATGTGGTTACAAATAGATTATAGGCAATAATAATGGCTTGAGTTATCTTAATAATAGCTTTATATAATTGATTAATAGAGAGCAAGCATAATTTTCTAATCATAGTATTCAAATAATAAACTCAATTCATTTGATTAGTTACTCTTATTGATTTATATTCTTGGAGTTTTTTAATTATATATCTTATTACATCTTCTTGTAAAGCATATTTGAATCATTTATAAATATGTCTTTAGAAATTTTTATATTATTTCTATACATATCTTAATTGCATATCTGTTTATTTAAAATGGCAAGTGAAAAAATTAAACAAGATATGGTGAAACTTCATGATTATCTTAAAAAACCTAAAATTGAATATAAGGATTCATCTACTGGCACTTACCATTATACTATTATCTCTAAAAAATATTATCTGTCATCATCTGTTCTTATTAAGACACAAAAAAAAAATAATAGTTATAGAATTTCTGATAATTACAAAGTCATAGTTAGGTAGATAAAAAAAAGTAAAACATGAAACATTATATGCATTATTAATTATATAAATCAACTTATTGATAATAAAATACAATTAAAGCCTTGTTTTAAAATTGAATATAATAATAATAGTCTTCAAACAATTGAGTCTTGGCAAAGTGCAACTCATGTGACAAATTTGTTCATACAAATAAAGTTTTTAAAAAATTTTTTAATATTTAAATTAATATTAAAAAAAATTTTTTTATAAAAAGACATATAATTCTAATGAAACATCAATACTGCTTAGAACTGTAGTATTTGGATTATAGCTTAAATATATAGAATAAGCTAGAGATTTTTGTTACCAATCTAATATTCTTCGACCTTTTGAAACTCTGAGTAATTTAGTAAAAAGATCTCAAATTAAACAAATTAGTAAAAAAGTATGTGATTATATTAGTTATGAAACAACATATTTACAACATAAGAATTAAATATAAATAAAATCACTTGCCTTGTCAGTTGACAATGAGAATTGAATAGTTAATTATTCAAAAGATAAGATATTTAAAAAAATCAAAAGCCAAGCATATGTTTATGCAATGGATAGTAGTTATATTTCATGTGAAGCTTTTTGATCAATTACAAAAAATTTTTCATAATTAGATTGTGAATATAGAATTAGTAATAAAAAACTTAATTTTGACAAAATAATGCAAAATATTATACTTCTTTATATTATAGACATTAATATAAATAGTTCAATAATGCTTACAGCAAATAATAAAGAAATTTATATTAATAATAAAAAAATAATTCATAGTATAACTAAATCAATCAGAAAGGCTAATTACAGAAGTATAAAGAAAATTTTAAAGTATATGATTCTATTTTATCTTGAAGAAGATATATTAGATTCTAATAATTTTCTAATTATATTACAAATATCAAGAGATAGTCAGAATGTAGGATATTATATAAAGCATGTTATGATTATATGTTCTATTCTTAATGATATTAGTAGTCATCAGATACCTGAATGATATTATACTATAGTTCTATATCCTGGCATTAAAGATTATCAAATTTTACAAAATGTTTTAACATCATTAATTCATAACTTACAGGATATTTCTCAAAATGAAATTGTTGATAAATTTGGCAATAAATGAAATATTAATCTTTATTTCTCTTCAGATTGGAAATTTTTTGCTTTATGTTTAGGACTAAATGCTGCTAATGCAATATATTTTTGTTCTTATTGCCAATGTACTAAAAAAGAAATTGGATTATATAATAAATATTAAAATAAAAAAAATATGAAAATGCTTATTAATAATTGTAATACTTGTCTTAGACATATTTAAAAACTATTATTTTTTATGATACTCTTAGAAAACTGGATTCTGAATAAACTTCATATATTACTTAGAGTTACAGATCATTTATAGAGCTTAGTATTAGCTAAAATTAATATTAATAACAATTAGATTAGAAATATTATATATGAAAAAATCAAATGAATTGGTATTAGTTTTTATTTCTGGCAAGAACATAATTCACATATATAGAATTTTACATTATTAACAGGTAACAAAAAACTTAAACTACTTTGTAAATTTGATCTTACAAAACCTTTTAATTGATAAAAAGCAATACTTATTTGACAACTTTGGAATAAGTTTTATCATCTTTATAAATTATTATATGCTGTAGAAATTACTAGTAAGATGTTCAAAAATGAGGCAAAAAAATAGATAGAGTTATTTTTAACTCCAACATCAGAAATGCAAAATATATCAGATTTTATTAAAAAGCTATATAAGCCATCAGATATTATATCTTATATGCATCTTTTTTATAGTCATATTCTAGATATAATTAAGAATTATAGCAATTTAGAAATTTAAGCATTTTTTTGTGCTCCAATTGAAAAAAAAATTACCAACAAACAGTATATTTTTTTAATAAAACTTTGAAAAATGATGAAAATAAAACTTAATCTTCTTCAATTTTAGCAATATTGCAACATGAAAACAGATTATTGTATTATATTAAAAATAGAATAATATTAGCATTTAACAAATCTAAATATATTTATATTAAATAGTAATTATTATATTATTATTTTAATAAATTAATAAATATATATTATATATATTATTGTCTATATTAATAAATTAATTAATAATTAATGCTTAAAATTTATATATAATATAATATTTAATTTACCTTT